GGGGAGAAGGGTGCAACAATGAATGAATGGAATCCCAAAATCTCTGTAGATGTTCATTGAAATAAAAAATAAACAACCTAAATTTAAAAAAAAATCTTGCCTTGAGATATAAATCATTAATTAAATAGATATATTTTAGAATAATATCAGTGTCAAATGTTCACTTTATTCTTCTTATTCTCCCAAATTATGCTAACTAGAAAACTTTAAGTTTTGTTATTGCTAAATTATTATAATTAAATAATGAAATACAAAACAGTACTACTAATAATAATTTCAATAGTATTGCTGTTGTTATACGCTTAGAAGCTGGAACTGTCTCAAAGCTGACCCTCCAGTACGTTGTCAGTGGTAGTAAATTATACCAGGGGGCGGGTGAGTAAGGGTAGGTGTAAGGGACAGATTGCTCATATTTCTCCCTTAGAGCAGCTATTAGGTTTGAACTGAGAGTGTTTGAGTTGGTAGTGCAGTTCCTTATCACTAGGACAGTTGTTGTTGTTATGTGCCATCATAATAACATAACAAATTGCCTGCAACTCAAACAGATAATACAAGAGCTCTGAAGCCTGCTCTATCCTGAGCCAATTTCATTGTCTTTCACATCCCTACCCCCATTACCCCAGACACTGCGTCAATCTATTTCATCCAGTGTCTTCCTCTCTTGCGCTGTCCCTCCACTCTTCCAAGCATAATATCTCTCTCCAAGGATTGGTCTCTCCTGTCAACATGCCCAAAGTATGTCAGACAGAGCTTCAAAATCCTTATTTCCGAGGATCAGCATGATTTCACTCTCTCCAAGGTGAACATGTTTGTTCTTTTAGTAGCCAATGAGATATTCAGTACTACTCTCTAGCACCACAGCTCAAAGGAATTGATTTTTCTTCTCTCATGTTTAATCATTGTCCAGCTATCTAATGCACAGTAAGTAATTGCAAAGACCAAGGCCTGCATTGGGTGCACCTTAATCTCCAGACTGACACTGTTGCTCTTCTGTACTCTGGAGCAGTTCTTGGTAGCAGATTTTCCCAATGCAGTTCATCTTTTTATTTCCTGGATGTTGGTACCAAGAATGGTTGATTATGGAGCCAAGCAAATTGAAGCTGCAAACAATCTCTTCTCTGCCTATCATGATGCTGCCAATTGGCCCACTGGTGAGAATCGTTATTTTCTTAATATTGAAAGCTACAGTCCTTGACCTTCTGCAGCAAATGCCTGAGGTTCTCCTCTGTTTCACATAACAAGATTGTGTCATCTGGATAATGCATGTTGTTGCTAGAATAAACACCACCCCCCCATTTCAAGCATGTTGCTGGTATTAAATGCCATCAAAGTGACTACAACCCATTGCAACCCAGTGAACAGTAAATCGGTATTCTGCCCTGTCCTGTGCCATCTTCATCATCTGTGACTGACTTGAACCCATTGTTAAAGTTGCTGTGTCAATCCATGCCATTGAAAGTCTTCCTCTCTTCTGCTAACCTTCTAGCTTTCCAAGTATGATGTTTTACTCCAAGCAGTGGCCCTTCCTAAAAACATGCTTAAAATATGTGAGATGAAGTTTCACTGTTCTTGCCTAGAAAGAGCACTCTTTTTGCACTTTCTCCAAGATCAATGTGTTTGTTCTCTTGGTAGCTGATGGGAAATACTCTTCTTCATCACCACTACTCAGAGGCATAAATTTTTCCATCATCCTTAGTCTTTGTCCAACTTTGATAGGCATTGCAATAACTGAAAAGACCATAGATTGGATCAAGTGAACATTAGTTTTTACACTGATACCCCTGTTCCTTAGAACTTTGGAGAGGTCCTCAACAGTATATATTCTCAATGTGCTGGATCTTTCTAAATAAGGTTAAATAACTGATAATGTCAAAATCTTTTTCTATTTATCATGACATTGCCTTTTGGTCCAGAGGTGAGGATTTTTATTTTGTTTACATTGAGATGTAGTCTATGTTGAAGGCTGTAATCTTTGATCTTCTGCAGTTAGTACTGTATTTTTTTTTTTTTTACATTCAATGTATGTTGTTATGTGCTGTCAAGTTGGAGCTGACCCATGGGCATTGCTGAAGATCAGCCAAAAGTGGCGAGAACAGTATATCTGTTTCACATCGA